CGTTTGCCAATGAAGGAGTTTAGACTTGGGTTTGATCCCTGGGTCGGGAAGATCCCCTGGAGAAGCAAATGGCATCCCACTGCAGTGTTCTTGCCTGGAGAATCCCATGGACAGAGGAGCCTGGCGGGCTACAGTCCATGGGGCCGCAAAGGGTCGGACACGACTGGCGACTGAGCACAGACATAATTATACTAATTATATTAATATCAATAATATAAATTATATTATTTGATTTGATTCTCACAGACTGGTGAAAATCAAATGCCATAACATGTAAATACACTGATAAACCATGCCCATTAGTTGCTATTATTATTATCATTGCTATTTTATGGATTAAGCTGTGGTTTTGTTTTTCTCTTTCATCCAGGTTAAAGGTACTTGAAGAACAAACTTGGTAGCAAATAAATTATGTCTTCTGATCCCTTCACACTATTTGGATAACTTAGCTCAAATACCATCACTAACTTGAATATCTCTGTCATTGGCACTGCCTAAAAACTGAGACTAGAGCAATTATGAAAGAAGGTATAATTTATACTTTTAACTTTGATAAATAAGCTATGAGTTCGTAAGTTCAAATTAATCAAAAAGGTAGGCACATTTGACATTTCACTGCCATTTGTCTTTTGTAGCTTTTAAAATGTTATTGATAGTTCTGAAAATGTATTTTCTTTCCTCCATACTTTTTCAAATGTTACTTTTCAAAATCTCTCGAGATGATTTTGGCTTATTCTTAAAAAACAAACAAAAAAAGACATTGATAGGTAAGAAATACAACCAAAAGTTTGTATCCTGATTGTAACCTTGAGGTTTGCTCCAGGAAATATTTGAAAATAATCTTGTTTAGATTCTTATTTTTAATTTCTTGGTTAGGTAGTTTTCTAAAATCTTAAAGGACAATGACATACATTTTTTATATAATAGCTGTTCTCGGTAACTAAAGGTGCAAATTGAGATATAAAGTATATTAGAAAATGTGACCATATTAGCTTGATACTCAATCCAAAAAGAAAAGAAAGAATTATCAAGCTTCCTAACACAGTCATTCCTCATTTGTTACCTAACATTGTCTTTAGTCACTCCGTGATGCTATTTCTCTTTTATGTCAAGCAGTTTCTATCGACTCTAAATGTAAAGGCTTACGCCCAGCCAGAGTCGGTGAGCTTGCAAGCAGCTTTGCCCAAAAGCAGGCACCTCTCTGGCTGCGTGAGCTCAGAGGGGAGCCTTGCCAGCTGGTGGCAGCATTCACAAGAGCGGGTCATGTTTCCTCTCTTATCTGTAGGTTGGGTTTCAAAACAACTCTAGAAAACAGACTGAAAGGCGAGCTGGAAGCAGCACGTGAACGACGGCAGAAAAGGGGAAGGTTCCTGACTGCAGCCCCAAACCCCGGAGCATCTGGCAACAAGCGGGCAGCCGGTGTCCTATTTACCTCCTGAGCAGTTTGCAGAAACAGGGCGAAAGCTGGCTCCCGGAGCAAACTGCAACAGAGGGATCAATGAACTCCGCTGATCTTTCTCCTTCCCTAACGTCTGGGCTGTGTTCAAGGGCACTCCCAGCTGACCTCCCTGCTCACCCTCCTGCCCTCCCAGAAAATAGAGCTGTGTCATTTTAGAGCCCCCCCCCCTCCCCGCCTTTTAATGTCATCTGCTCAGGAAGTATATATTGAGAAGTAGACACTTTAATTCTGATCTGATAGGAAAAAACAAAACAAACAAATAGAACATAAACAACACTTTAACTCAGCAGCTACATAGCAGGACGTCAAGTTAGTCATGCAAAACGTTAAGTATATTATATTTCAGGTCCAAGAATTCCAAGGAAGAGGGATTTTCTGCGAAGGAATAGTTTTTGCTTGTCTTCATGATTCAGTAATGTTATATAGCCATTAATGTAAACTTTTAATTTCAGTCATGGAAAGTCTTTAGGGGAAAAAAGTGGGTGCGTGTTTTAACCTAGAAACATATTTTCAAAATTCAAACACAACAGAATTCAGTGATGAATGAATAAGAAATCTGAGTCACTGACTGTAGTCACTATGTGATTGCTTGTTTATATGTTAATATTTCTTCAGTATAATTTTCTTTTAAAACTGAAAATGTTCTAAATATTGGATTAGCTGTCCTTGTGCTTACCACATAACTGAGCATTATTCTGAGCAGTATTAATTCAATTTATACACTTTTCAGAATAATTCTTGAGCGTCAGAGTAGTTTGGTCAAGACTATAGGCACATAAGAAATCATTTACTTTAGAAAACTCTTCTTCCCCCAAAGAATATTTTTTTAAAAGGATTATTAAAAAATAATACATATAAAAATATTTAAAAAATAAAAATAAAAAATTATTAAAAATGCATCCGGATTTTTAAAGAGCAAATACTGAAGTGGAAAGATTTACCACTTCCAAGAAAACGATACAGCCTATGAACAAATCCTGCTTTTTCAAACATTTGCAAAGCCACCCCTTGACAGTAAATGATCCGAACAGCAGTTAGATTCTTTCATGTAAAACATTCTGCTGCACAGCACTGGCATATTACAAAAGCCTTGTGAAATTTCAGTTGAAACATATTAGCAAATATATTTGTGAGGAAGAACCAGCAGCTAAAGTGCAGGAAGTCCCCATATGGATCCAGGATGAGGCAAAGACTGTCCTTGGAGTTCATTCATCACAGGAAGGGTAATGTATTACATGAGCAACTGAAATACAGTATTTAATACAGCAAACTTGATGGAATGCTGCCGCTCTTTCTAAAGACTAGGACATAGACCTCTGATGTTAAAATCTCTACTCCTAAAACACATTTTCAGTTAAAGCTACTCTAACTGCTTATACTCTGACTGATCAGCTTAGTCAGTTCATAAAGAGTCCATCAAGACAAAAAATACTGTGAAACAGCTACAGGGTTAAGAATTAAAAACAAAAAGCTCCCATGTTAAATTTTCTCCTGCTATATATGCTTCCTTATATGAAACAGAGAAGAAAATTAATGTTCATTATTATTATTACTCCCTGAAGAAGGGAATGGCAACCCACTCCAGTATTCTTGCCTGGAGAATTCCATGGACAGCGGAGCCTGGTGGGCTACAGTCCACGGGGTCAGAGTTAGACACAACTGAGCGACTAGCACACATTATTATTACTATTATTGGTATTATGAATTATTATATATTTTTAATATCACACTTTTATGAAATTGACTACTCTATGAAAGGTAATTAAATTATTCCAGAAAGGACTTTTTGGTTTGGTAAAAAAAAAAAAAAAATCACTGTGTAAGATTTTATATTAAAACAACAATAAAACCAACCAAACAAAAAGCAATATTTGTTCGAAGATATGGCCATTTTGTTATCCATTTTGGGTCATGGGAAAAAATTTCATCCAGGCTCTAGCTGGCAACATGCCACGCAAGCAGCACCCAGCCCTGCACAGGGAACAGGTTGGCAGATGTTATTAGCTGACTTTTGCTGGAGAACAGTTGGAAAAATCACAAGGTGTCAAACAAGCTTTAAATAAATAAATAGCTTATTTGGCAATGGAAAGGGAGAAAGACAACCAGTTCCTTCGTTGAGGAAGACTGGGATGTTTCTAATTACAGAGTTCCTTTCTGCTGGTTTCACGGGCTGACTTCTTAATGAGAATGGAAATTGTACTCCCACACTTGCAGCTAGAGGTTCTAGGACTTCAGAATGACAATTAGTTTGCAGTTTTGCTGCAGCTCTGTGATCCTAGAGTATGAGAACGCCACTGATACAGAAGACAAATCTTTCGCCCTGGCTTGTCTGTCCCCAACCAGGGACCGACTAACTAGTATACGGGGGTGTCAGCTACCAGCAGAGAGCTTCTGACACCATTACTGGGACGCTGGTATTGAACACCCATTGGAACAGCTTGGTGGGGGGGGAACAACCCAGGATGGACTTGTTGACATCCGAAGGGCACAGCAACTAAATATTCAATGAGTATTTGAAAGCTTCATTTTGTTTGAAAAGCCAAAATCAAGCAGAAAAATCATTTCTTTGAAGAAATTATTATGGCATGATGCCGGAAAGAGGTTACCCCACAATCACCCTCTGCTTGTTAGGGTCACTGAACATTTAGGCAGGCCCGTTTACTGGAAATGATCACAGGGCCAACAGAATTGGGTCACATGGTCTTGAAGCTCCCAGATGAGAAGCCCCATCAACTCTCCTTGCTGGGTGGACACTTGCTAGGCAACATCTGTTACCATAAAAGGGACAGCAAGATCTAAAATGAATAGAACACACACAGAATCACACACACACAAATGTCCGTACACACCCATGCCCACACAGAAACGTGCACGCACCCGCACGCCCCCCCACCCCCCCACAGAGCTCCGCCACTCCTAGAAGTATTATTTTGTAAAGCATGGTTTGTTTAAAATGAAGGATCGACTTTGAACACACCTCTTTGAGGCAAATTCTATGATGACTTTTGTGTCATTGATCCTTCTTCTGTTTAAGTTACTCAGCAGTAACCATCATTTATATAGCAACTAACAAAACTACTACGATCTATCTTTCGGTGAATAGGGATCTCTTGGCCCATAATATTAACTAGCAGAATTTTCAGGTCACATTTTTACAAACATGTTAAAACATTTATCACTCTTTCAAAAATGACAATCTTAAATTATTCCTCTTAAATATAAGACTCCATGACACTGAAAACGAAGACTTTTGTAAGGTATAGACGGCATTCAAAGGCAAACTTCCAGCAGTTAAAAAAAATTTTTTTTTGTTTCAAAATTATTTCATGAAGACACAATTAAAAACAAACCAAAAAACCCGACCAAGGCTTGCGTCTATAGCCTTTTTAGTTTCCGGAGGATTAGTAGCCTGCTGAGATCTGAACTCGGGGACTCCCACCCTCAGCAGCAGCTCTCACAGTCATTTAGGAGATGCGTTATACGGTGGGTCCTTATTTGTGATCGACTTTGAAAGTCACAGAAGCCACGTAGATGGAAATATCTAAAGCATCCAAGGGCATCTTTCACGCGGCACCCGCTGCGGGCGCGCAGGTCCGGAGACGCCCACTCCCGCGCCTCTGCGCGCGGGGCCGGGGGCCGGCGGGGGGCGGGCCGCGGCCGCAGGGACCCGGCTCGGCTCGCCGGAGCCCGCCCTCTTCCCGGCACGATGAAAACTGCAGTCTTCTCCGCCCGCTAGTCCTCCCCTTTCTCCTGTTACATCCAAACAGACGATTTCAACTTCCCGAGAACCTGACAAGTGAATGGCGCTGATGACGCCCCGGAAAGGGCCCACGATCGGGTGCGGGGGAAGGGCAGCTCTGAGCGGGTGGGACCCCGGGAGCGCCTGGGGCCCGCGCGGCCCGGGGTTGGGGGCGCCCCATCCGCGCCCCTTGCCGACCCCGGCTCCCTTTCCAGGAAGGGGCTCGAAGCTGCTATCGATCCCGAGCTCACCGGTGACTAATGGGATGCTCGTAAACAAGCCGCGGCCGGGCACCAAGGGAACCACCCAGGCGCGAACACGCCGAGGCGGGGGTGGTGGGGCGGGGGGGCGCGCGCCCACCCCCAGCCCGGGTACCGGATCCGCGCGCCGAAGTGTGTGCTGGGGGTAGGGAATTTCGAGGGGGCAGCCAAGTTCACTGCCTCCTCCAGGCCCCAGGCAGTGGGGCGGCGGCAAGGCGGTGCGGGGCCCGGTGGGGGTGTGGGGGTGGTGCCACCGCCCCCTCCCAAGCCCCGAGCCCGGGCTGGCGGTCTCGCCCCTTGATCTCGGTCGGCCCCCGTCCCCTGCAGCGTCCCCTCCCCGGCGGAAGCTCGGAGCCCAATTAATTGAGTCAAAGGCGGGAGGGCCGGGCCCTGCGCGCGGCGGCCGGCCCCCGCCCCTCCCGCGCGCCCCTTTTCCCGCCCTGGGTGGCATCTGCTCCGCCGGCCTCCGCAACGAGCCGCTGATTAATGAGGCCCGGCCGCCCCCGCCCCACCGCGCCCCGCCCCGGCCCGGGCCCCCCGCGGGAGGGGGCGGGGGAGGGGACGGCGGGAAACGCGGCCCCGGGAGAAAGGGGGGCGGGGCGGGGGCGCGCGGCCCGCCCTCCCCGCGGCCCGCGCCCATTGGCCGTGCGCGCCGTCCGTCGGGGGGCGCGGCGCCAATGCGGGCGGCGGGGCGGGGCGGCCGCGCCGTGTGTGCCTGCGTAACGCCGAGTCACATGTTGTTTTGCTCTTCTTAGTTCAGTCACTCGGTGCGCGATGTGTTACTCACTGTGCGGCGGGGACCGCGACGAGCCCGGGTCGCCGTTGGCAGCGGCGGCAGCAGCAGCGGCAGCGGCAGCCCCGGCGGCGGCGGCGCGGACCCCGAGTCCCCGGGCGCACCTCGGCGCCCCGGAGCGCAGCGCGGCGGCGGGACCCGTGCGGCCGCGCGCGCCTTAGGCTCGGCCCCGCGGCTCGGGGACCCCGACTCTCGGCCCAGCCAGCGAGTCCCCCAGGCGCCGCCCGAGAGCCCGGGAGGCAGCGGCCGCGGGCAAGCCGGGCCGCGGGGAAGGGGGGGCGGCGGCCACCGCCCGCACCGGGCACCTTCTGGGGCCCCGGATCGCGGAGGGCGCTGCGCCACCGCGCGGGTGCCGGCCCCCGCGGGGCCTCCCTGAACCTTCCCCACCTCCTGGGCCCGAGGGACGCGGGCTCCGGCGGGCGAGCAGGAGGTGGTGGGGAGCCGCCCGCGCCCCACTGCGCTCCGCGCCCCCCCTCCCGCCCCCCGGCCCCCGCCCCCGGCCCCTCCAAGCCGGGCCGGGCGGCGCGGCCTGAAGCGCCCGCGATGGCGAGCCCGCCGGAGCACGGGCCCCCCGGGCCGGCGGGCGGGGACGGCCCCAACCTCAACAACAACAACAACAACAACAACCACAGCGTGCGCAAGTGCGGCTACCTGCGCAAGCAGAAGCACGGCCACAAGCGCTTCTTCGTGCTGCGCGGGCCCGGCGCGGGCGGCGACGAGGCGGGAGCGGGCGGGGGCCCGGCGCCGCAGCCGCCGCGGCTCGAGTACTACGAGAGCGAGAAGAAGTGGCGGAGCAAGGCGGGCGCCCCGAAGCGGGTCATCGCGCTCGACTGCTGCCTGAACATCAACAAGCGCGCCGACGCCAAGCACAAGTACCTGATCGCCCTCTACACCAAGGACGAGTACTTCGCCGTGGCGGCCGAGAACGAGCAGGAGCAGGAGGGCTGGTACCGCGCGCTCACCGACCTGGTCAGCGAGGGCCGCGCGGGCGCCGGCGACGCGCCCCCCGCCGCCGCCGCCACCTCCGGGTCCTGCAGCGCCTCCCTGCCCGGCGCCCTGGGCGGCTCGGCGGGCGCCGCCGCGGCCGATGACAGCTACGGGCTGGTGGCGCCGGCCACGGCCGCCTACCGCGAGGTGTGGCAGGTGAACCTGAAGCCCAAGGGCCTAGGCCAGAGCAAGAACCTGACGGGCGTGTACCGCCTGTGCCTGTCGGCGCGCACCATCGGCTTCGTGAAGCTCAACTGCGAGCAGCCGTCGGTGACGCTGCAGCTCATGAGCATCCGCCGCTGCGGCCACTCGGACAGCTTCTTCTTCATCGAGGTGGGCCGCTCGGCCGTCACGGGCCCCGGCGAGCTGTGGATGCAGGCGGACGACTCGGTGGTGGCGCAGAACATCCACGAGACCATCCTGGAGGCCATGAAGGCGCTCAAGGAGCTCTTCGAGTTTCGGCCGCGCAGCAAGAGCCAGTCGTCCGGCTCGTCGGCCACGCACCCCATCAGCGTGCCCGGCGCGCGCCGCCATCACCACTTGGTCAACCTGCCCCCGAGCCAGACGGGGCTGGTGCGCCGCTCGCGCACCGATAGCCTGGCCGCCACCCCGCCCGCCGCCAAGTGCAGCGCGTGCCGGGTGCGCACGGCCAGCGAGGGCGACGGCGGCGCGGCGGCGGCGGCGGCGGGGGGGGGCCCCGGGGCGGGGTCCGGGGCGGCGGCGGTGGGCGGCAGGCCGGTGTCGGTGGCGGGCAGCCCCCTGAGCCCGGGCCCGGTGCGCGCGCCACTGAGCCGCTCGCACACGCTGAGCGGCGGCCGCGCGGGCAAGGCGGCGCTGGCGCCGGCAGGGGGCGGCCTGCAGCACAGCCGCTCCATGTCCATGCCCGTGGCGCACTCGCCCCCGGCGGCCACCAGCCCCGGCAGCCTGTCGTCCAGCAGCGGGCACGGCTCGGGCTCCTACCCGCCGCCCCCCGGCCCGCACCCGCACCTGCAGCACCCCCTGCACCCCCAGCGCCCCTCCAGCGGCAGCGCCTCGGCCTCGGGCTCCCCCAGCGACCCCGGCTTCATGTCCTTGGACGAGTACGGCTCCAGCCCCGGGGACCTGCGGGTCTACTGCGGCCACCGGAGCAACACGCCCGAGTCCGTCGCCGAGACGCCCCCGGCGCGGGACGGCAGCGCGGGCGAGCTGTGCGGCTACATGGCCATGGAGCGGCCGCTGAGCCACTGCGGCGTCCGCGCCTACCGCAGGGTCTCCGGGGACGGCGTCCCGGACTTGGACCGAGGGCTGAGGAAGCGGACTTACTCCCTGACCACGCCTGCCCGGCAGCGGCCGGCGCCCCAGCCGTCCTCCGCGTCCCTGGACGAGTACACGCTGATGCGGGCCACCTTCTCGGGCAGCTCCGGCCGCCTGTGCCCGTCCTGCAGCGCGTCCTCTCCCAAAGTGGCCTACCACCCGTACCCCGAGGACTACGGCGACGTCGAGATCGGCTCACACCGCAGCTCTAGCAGTAACCTGGGCGCGGACGACGGCTACGTGCCCATGACCCCCGGCGTGGCCCTCCTGGGGGCGGGCAGCGGGAGCTGCAAGAGCGACGACTACATGCCCATGAGCCCCACCAGCGTGTCGGCCCCGAAGCAGATCCTGCAGCCACGCCCCGGGCCCGCCGCCTTGCCCCCTGCGGGGCCAGCGGTGCCCACGCCCGCCTCGGCGGCCAGCAGGGCCTTCCCGGGCACTGCGGGCGGCTACAAGACCGGCTCCCCGGCCGAGAGCTCCCCCGAGGACAGCGGGTACATGCGCATGTGGTGCGGTTCCAAGCTGTCCATGGAGAGCGCCGACAGCAAGCTGCTGCCCAACGGGGACTACCTCAACATGTCCCCCAGCGACGCGGGCACCGCGGGCACCCCGCCCGACTTCTTCTCTGCTGCGGGGGAGACGCTGCGGGGCGTGCCCGGCTACTGCTATAGCTCCCTGCCCCGCTCCTACAAGGCCCCCCATGCCTGCCACGGCGACAGCGACCAGTACGTGCTCATGAGCTCACCCGTGGGCCGGGTCCTGGAGGAGGAGCAGCTGGAGCCGGCCCCCGGCCCCGCGCAGGCGGCCAGTGCCTTCCCGGCCGCGGCGGCTGGCAGCGGCCACCCCCAGCCACCCCACCCCGCCGTGCCTTCACCTGGGAGGCCAGGCGGTGGCGGAGGTAGCCGCCCCGACGGCTTCCTGGCTCAGCGCTGCCGGGCAGTGCGGCCTACGCGCCTGTCCCTGGAGGGGCTGCCGGCCCTGCCCCGCATGCACGAGTACCCGCTGCCCCCCGAGCCCAGGAGTCCGGGCGAGTATATCAACATCGACTTCGGGGAGGCCGGCGCGCGACTGTCGCCGCCCGCGCCCCCGCTCCTGGCCTCGGCCGCCTCGTCGTCGTCGCTGCTGTCCGCCAGCAGCCCGGCCTCGTCCCTGGGCTCCGGCACCCCGGGCACGAGCGGGGACAGCCGGCAGCGCTCCCCGCTCTCCGACTACATGAACCTCGACTTCAGCTCGCCCAAGTCGCCGCAGCCGGGCGCCCAGGGCCGGGACCCCGTGGGCTCCTTGGACGCTCTGCTGTCCCCCGAGGCCTCTGTGTACCCGCCGCTGCCCCCTCGCCCGGCTGCCTCCTCCTCGGCCCTGCAGCCGCCACCCCCGCCGCCCCCGCCGGGTGAGCTGTACCGCTTGCCTGCGGCAACCACCTCCCAGGGCCCAGGCGCGGCCTCCTCGTCCTCGGACACGGGGGACAACGGTGACTACACCGAGATGGCCTTCGGCGTGGCCGCCACCCCACCGCAACCAATCGCGGCGCCCCCGAAGCCCGACGGTGCCCGCGTGAGCAGCCCCGTGTCTGGCCTCAAGAGGCTGAGTCTCATGGATCAGGTGTCAGGGGTCGAGGCCTTCCTGCAGGCCGGTCAGCCCCCAGACCCGCACCGGGGGGCCAAGGTCATCCGCGCGGACCCGCAGGGGGGCCGCCGCCGCCACAGCTCCGAGACCTTCTCCTCGACCACCACTGTGACCCCCGTGTCCCCGTCCTTCGCTCACACCCCCAAGCGTCACAATTCGGCCTCGGTGGAGAACGTTTCTCTCAGGAAAGGCAGCGAAGGGGGCTGCGGCGGCGGCCTGGGTGGGGGTGACGAGCCCCCCTCGTCGCCGCGCCAGTTGCCCCCGCCGACGCCGCAGCAGGCGCGGGCCTGGACGCCGGCTCAGCCCGGCGGCAGCCTGGTTGGTTGTCCCGGGGGCAACAGCTCGCCGATGCGCCGGGAGACGTCCGCAGGCTTTCAGAATGGCCTCAACTACATCGCCATCGACGTGAGGGACGAGCCAGGGCTGTCACCGCCCCTGCAGCAGCACCCACACGGGCAGATGGGCGACAGGAGCGCCTGGGGCCGCACCCGGAGCCTCGGGGGTCTCATCAGCGCCGTGGGCGCTGCCAGCCCCGCCGGGGTGTGCGGGGGGCCAGGCCCGGGTGCCCTGCCTGGGGCCAACGCCTACGCCAGCATCGACTTCTTGACGCATCACCTGAAAGAGGCCACAGTGGTGAAAGGTGAGGGCCGGGGGCGGGGAGGAGGGCGGGCAGGCGGGTTGTTTAGAAACCGCTTCCCTTCCGGGGGTACCTTGACCTCAGTGCCCAAGTTCTGGCGCAGGGTTCTCGCTTTGTTTTGCATTTGGCCCAGTGTCGGTCTTTTCCCAAAGACCTCATCAGAGCACTCAGGTCGCCTTTGAGTTCAACAGTGAGTCTTCCGACCTGGGAGACAGATCTGTTTTCTTTGGCCCCAGAGACCCCCCTCCTCTTCCCGTCTGTGAACACCTGGGGGAGGGGGGTGTCAGCCACTCCCCCAGGAGGTGGCCCAGGGGGTCCTCCCATCTGTGAAGTGGGAAACATCCGCTGGGAGGGGCCCGCCTGCCTGCTGGCGGCTCCCAGGCCCGCAGACGTCACCTTTCTCTTTGTTTTCCTGGAGCCTGGCCGGGCTAATTCTTGCTGAGCCTCAAAGTTTAGAAAAACAGGCCCAAAAGTTGTTTAGGAAAAGAGCATCCATTTTGGCTGGCCGTTGCAGGGAGCCCTGAGCCCTTTCAAGTTTACATGGGGACCGTGGGAGCATTTCCACCAGAGACGTGCCTGTTCTCTAGGGGGCTGAAAGGGTGACGCTCCTGAAACCCAGCTCTGGAGCTTGAGCCCACCTGGGCATCACCTGGAGAGTCTGAGGCCGGGGGGTGGGGCTGGGTGAGCCCCCGAGATTCCCACGCAGTGGGTCTGGGCTGTGGCTCCCCGTGCCTTCCTAAGAAGCTTCCCTCTTGTGCTGTGCTGCAGGCCGGGGGGGCCCTGGCTGGGGGTGGAGTTGGGGGCACTTGCCCCAGTTAGACCGCTGGAGCAGGTCTGAGAAATGACCTGGGGGGTCAGCCTAGGTAGGCGCAGTCGGGGAAAGCGGCCAGTGGGCGGAGCCCAGCCACCAGCATTTTCCCTGTTGCCCAGGCGATGAGAATCTGGACTTGAGAGGAGACAGTGAAAGATGCCACATGGGTGGTTTCAGGAGCGGTCAGCCCCAGGGGGTGGGCCCAGTGTGGTCACCCCCGGCTCCTCGCAGACCCCCAGGGACGGAGGTGTGCTTGCCTTGACCTCGTTGTCTCAGACCCCGAATGACGAGGAGGAGAGGTGGGAGGGTGGGCTCAAAGAGTTCCTTAACTTTATAGCTGCTTCCTTGCAGAAAGATAGAAGCGCTGTGGGAACCGCGGAGGACAGAGTAGTGAACAGTGCTCAGATGCTGGCCTGAGGTCAGCAGTCTGCCGGGGTTGCAGGGTGATGATGGACGCAGTGTGGGGATCTGTACACCCTGTGTTCTGAAAGCAAACACGCGTCTGATGCGGGGTAAATCCAGCATATGTTTTCTCACATCCATGGGATTTAAAGTTACAGCTGGGTTCAAGAGGGCGGGGACGTACGCACCCCTGTGGCGGATTCTTGTTGACGTATGGCAGATACCAACACACTACTGTAAAGCCGTTATCCTCCAAATAAAAATAAATTTAAAGAAGAAAAAAAACTAAAGTTACAGCTGTAGGGTGGATGCCCTGTTATTCTTATACAATAGAGGAAAAGTGATTTGCTTTTTTTCTAAAATCATGGACTACAAGATGAAAAGAGGCACAGAGAATTCTCAGGGACGCGGCCCTGTGGCATCTAATGACGCGAGTTGGAAGCCGTCAGGATGTGCCTCGTAAATGGTGATGCTCAGCTGAAGGTCGCTTTTCTTGGAGGCACTTAAGCCCTACAGGTGCGTCTGAAAAATTGCTGGTGTGTCTGGGAGTTGAAGGATTAGTAGGTGCCATCTAAGACACAGGCTAGGTAAACACAGCAGCGTAACTAGACTTGACTGGGGGAAAAATCTGCACGCACAGAAAGGGGTATAGACCATAGTGAACACCGGAGTACATCTTGCTGAAATCTGATTCTCATCAGAAAAAAACAGCCTGAGAACACAACACCTTTTACAGCCTCTGGTAGAGCAGGCAGGAAAAACCCGGAGTGGATTGAGGAGGGCCCTGGGAGGCGGTTCTCGCAGTTAGCGGAAGAGTGAGCTGGGGTGTGTGCCTCCAGGCCTGAAGGAATCCAAGGCCTTTCGGATAAAGTAGATACATTCAGAAACATGATTCACGGCTGCTATAATGCCCTCTTCAGATGAGAGAAAATTTTAAACTGCAAGAGATAAGTTTAGCGAGAGGCCTGGTCTGGCTTGTTTTGTCCCCTATTTCCCACCAGTATAACATTCTTCTCAGCCTATAGGATTCAGGGCTCTGAAATCAAAACAGTTTGTAAACTCCGTGGTCACTGAAATCACTTTGGATTGCCTTTTGCCCAAAGTCTCTGTGAGTGTTATGGTAAACACCCTCTTAAGAACGGGAAAAGACTATTTTTAAACAAAATAGATAACTACAATTGATCCATTGTGTCCAAACCATTTTTTTTTTTTCCTTTCTTTCAAAAAGGCCTACACGCTAAATGGATTTCTGGTAGACTAATTTGAGCACAGAGAACAGTGAACTAGGGAAGAGGAGGATCTCGTTTTAATTAACGGGGCAGGGGGTGGGGGGCGAAGCTTACTTGTGTTCTGTGGAGCCAGAAAGGAGCATCCACTTTTATTTAACTCCTGTTTGCGCATAGACATTGGTTTGTGATGCCCATAAATAAAAAGTTCACAGGAGATAAGTGTTCTTTGAGAGCATGATTTATGGAGGGAAGACTTGCAAAGCATTTCTTTGAAGATAAAATAGAAAGTGAGCTTCCTGAGTCATGGGGTGCACTGCCCTGACCCTCAGAAGTGGCTGTGTTTCCACACTCGGCTCCTCGGGTTCCGCGTGGAAACGCTTCGTGAGCTGCATGGAGTCGGAATCATTCGGGGTCGTGTGGGCAGTGTTTGGCGTTTGGATAAGCGGTGGCAAAGAGTTAAGGTTCCAGCAGCGTTTCCTGCTTGGATGTTTCCAGTAGAATTGGGGCTGGGGGTGGAGTTTCCATGCTGGAGCCAATTAAAAAGTTAGTACCCCTTAGATTGACACCCAGACATGTGTTTATGTCTTTGTAGGTCGTCCAGAGAAGATGAAATTTTAACTCTAAATTATGCATCTCACTTGGGAGCAGGGAGAAGGTACTTATCCTGTGTTTTGTGGGTGTGTTTGTGGAAAAGTCTAAGCCATCTTTACGGTGTTGTTGTTTGGGAACAGACCTGCTGCTGCTGAATACACTGAGCATTAAAACCGCTTTTTAAAATTAACTTTGTATGTTTGGTTGTTAGGATTATAGATTGTCCTATACTGTATAAACTATGCTATTTTAGTATTCCTCTTTAGTGAGGTTTTTGTTCTAAAATTGGTGTGTGTGTATGTACAAGGCGGATTAGATAAGAATTACCCTGAAAACATCTGTATTTAAATTTGTTTGATAAAAGGACTATTTATTCATATTCCACAGAAAGAATCGTGGGATAAGAGAGCAACACCATCACAATTTATGTTTAAAAGTGTTGTCTGTTGAAGTCTTCGAGCAGGGGACCTGAATATTTTTGGAACTCCAAGGAGATGACTTGACAAACCACACACACTTTATTTTCTCTCTCATGCTTGCTTTTCCGCTTTGGTTGGCCGGCTCTTATCATAATAAGCCAATCATGTGCCCGGCTCCCACCCTGTTCCCAGGAGCAGACAACTAAGGTGCTAATGAAAACACACACAGGCTTTCCTGAATGAAAGTCATGTGACTTGTTCTAGTTCCTTTATTGAAAGAGAAACCTTTACCAAAATAGTACTTCAGAGAAGGAGGCAGGGTGTGTGGAACACTAACCCAGGAATCAGGAAGCCAGGTTTCTAGTTGCTGATCTTGGTGAGTCGTGTACGAGGGGAGTCCCTCTGTCTCACTTTCTCCGTCTGCAAAGCAAGGTCCTTATTACCCTCTCCTCTTGCGCTCCATGGGGAGGTCCAGGAGTGTGTCCACATCCAGAGAGCTTCAGCTCCTCTAAAGAAGTATGCCAGTAAATCCCGAGATGATGTAGATACTTATTACCTTGAAACCCGGAGTGTGTGCAGGAAAGACACTTCTGTTGATGCATGTTCTTAAATTAAAAACAAACCCCAAAACCCTTATAGTTGTCTCAACGTGGAATCAGTACCTTCCTGAGAAATGCAGGCCTCTTCTATTTGGTTTCACTCCAGTCTCTAAGAGCCATTGTTTTCTCCCATCTCTATTTCACTTGAGGTTTTTTTTTTTTCCATAGATAATTATCAATTGTCATGTAGTAGTGTTTTAAATTACATAGTAGAGTAACAGCGAAGGAAAATAGCATTCTAATCCTGAAACTACATCAGGGCCGCACTTTCTGATGACCTTTTATGATGTGGTCATGTATTAAGAGAAATTGTCAAGATGAAAATGTGTAACTGGAATGTAGATTTCTCAGATTGACAGTGTTGGCCCTTCATCTGGGGAGAATCAAGAGAAAAAGAGAATCCTGAAGCTTTGAGCTGCTGAGTCGTCACTGTTCGACTGGGACTCCACTCCTCGGGGCTGACTCCATGAGAGTGGCCACTCCTGCGCTGTTTTTGGTTTGTCTGGTTGTCCCAGCTGGTCAGGAACACCTCCCGTGTCTGATTCTTTCATTCTTCCGTGGGCCCACCACCCTCCTGAAGAGGAATTTTAATAGATAATTAATGCTTTATTTTCTTTAGACCTTAGTATTAAAACGCATCTCTTTCTGCAAAGAACTTGCAGAAGTTTCAGGACCAGCACGGGGATAATGGCTTTTCTGTTAAAATTCCCACTAATGCATTTTCTGTAGAAGTGGAGTTCCGAGAGCCGGTTAACTTTTGGTATCAGATTTGGCAGGTGGAAAGGGTTTTTTGTTTTGTTTTTTTGGGGTAGAATCGAGTGTTCCCATTTCACCTCAGAAACTTAAGGGAAAATGTACCTGGACTCTTTATCTGCTTTGCCAAGTACACGGAGCAGGGAAAACAGCGGGAGAGAGTCCTGCGCCCTCAGCTCCCACGGGGTCTTCACCAGGG